TATAGTTTGAGGTGGAATGCCAATTTGCTACCCTAGAATTAGAAAAGTAAAGGTTAGAATGCTTTTTAAAATGCTTTTTTTATTATTACAGCTGTAATTAAGGAGCTACATTCTTCCCTACCAAAAAGTTATAAATTTGACAGAGGAGAAAATATCATAAATCATAAAATATCATTCCCTATCATAAAAAGTTATGAATTTAACAGAGAAAATATGTTATCCATAATTATTTACAATCATTTGCCAATTTTTTTGGAATGCGATTATTTATACTGGTAATAGTACTTTGACATTCATAGTTCCCTCCACCTTTTACAAGATAGCTGAATGAGATTCTGTTTTTTATAGTCATGGAACACTATGCATTGTTCTTTACCGTTATCTATAAATGTTTAGATTAATTAGGCTATTTTTTTCTTAGGTACGACCATACATATGTCCGTGGGATGAGAGCATGTCACGAGCAGTATGTTTATTGAATTTATTCCTGCCGACTTGTATGGAGCAAGAAATGCATAGGAAATACGGCGCCAGTTTATGGTTTGATGAAATGTGGCATTGGTTTACTGCACTCGAAACAAATTCATCGTATGAATCCAAGATGGAAGGACTATTAGCTCGGTATAATAATGATTAATTTAACATCATTTGAAATTATAATTTTTCGGTAATTGTTTTTCAAGCAAAAATATCCTTTTAGTGAGCTTCTTAGGTAATTAACGTTAGGCAACATTTGGGCGTATTTCCAACGAAAGAGCACTGCGTAGAATGTCCACTACGTAAAATGCACTGTATAGAAAACAATTCTAATGTATGGAGGACTGTAAAAAAGTATGAAAATACAACTTGCGAGACAATGTTAGGAAAGAGTTAGCAGTGGAATCACTATCATAATTTATGGCGACATATTTAAGCTTAGCACGTGAATGCCCTGGTTTGATCAACTGGCATGACAAATACGATATAATAATGACACGAGTATTGCGAGCATTAAATTTGGAAATAGGACAAGGTACTGAACGAGTAAATATTTGTTCAACTACTTCGTTTCATCTTGATCATGCTGCTATCTGGTTAGCTTATATGCTTGGCGGACAAAATAATGGGTTAGTTTCCCATCTTCTTAAATGATTTAGGTTTAGGTTATAAATTATTTATCTAATCTATTTAAGGACATTACTATAGCCTTTGTCTTTATATATTGACATGTTATTCGACGTTTTTGTTGTTCGTCAGCATCTTTTGGAAAAAAAAATGATAGTATCCTTTCTTCAGACTGAAGTTTATTTATGGTTTGTCATTTTAGAATCCAGAACCATCTTACCCGTCTTTTTCGTTCGCTGGAATCTTATTTTCATCCTTCGAATTATGGTCATCATTCCATTACAATACTTCATTTCTTGTTGAGACTGGTGAATTCCGTTTGCAGTAGATTACACAAGGAACGACACCAGAAACCTAGTTGTCATCCGCAGGTTTTTTCTTTTTGCGAATTAAACGATTATTTTTACTCTATTTTCTTTTGAACATGTTTTTTTTGTTCTTCGAAGCAATTACTTGCTTTATTTGCTATCAGCGCGGTACGCGCTGAATAGATGTTTCAACCCTTGGCAGAGTTTTACTTATTGATATATCTAACGTCTATTCATATTAGATCTACAATTTATTCCGTTGATATGGCTATATCTATCTTATTAATATGTGGAAAATGTCTTCCCTTAGTCGTTTCTTTTAAGTAATCTCGACCTTTATGAAATTTTGCACTATGTAAACCGCTATATTAATCATATGTATCGTTCATAATCATATGATAACATTCAGTCATGTTATAATTTCCTCTGTGGTCTATTTTGTTTAGGTTCCACCAAATCTTCGTTTAACAAACGCACAATTGGATGAGTTTGTGGAATCTGTACTGCCATGTGCTAAGCTTGCACTATTTGCAAAGTACAAAATGGAGTACGCGCCAGCTATAATTCGTAATCTGTCACAAATTGCACCACGAATCGTTGTACCAGCGGTTCTTGATTTGTAAGTAATTTAAGGCAGTAACTTGCTTCAGTAAAGAACTAGACCATGCTAGAGATGAGAAATGTAGTTGTTCCATATTTTTAACACTATAGTCACATCGCATATTCTTAATCTCATATATAACGGTGTTAAAAGTATGTCATTTATCGAGTAGGCATTCTGCGCAATACGTCTTCTGTGATAGTGCTGTTTGTGTCGAATATGACTTGTGTTTTTTACTAAGAAAGTAAAAGGCTAGAAACATTCTGTCACATTTTACTTCTTTTCATTTGCAGATAAACATCAGACCTTCTGTTTTTTGACGAATGATTTTATTTTACAGAGTATATCCTGCACTAGAGACAGTAGTTGAACCACATCGTCTGGTACAGTCCATGAATGCGTTAATAGCAGTTTGCGTTACACTAGTTCGTGATGATTCTAATTTGGGCAACCGCAAACGTGCCCCGTTACATGCAATGGAAGAACTTTCCGATAAGCCATACCGCAGTCATGCTATCGCGCTTCTTAATTCAGTTTTACCCGGTCTGGATGCCAATGATATCTCAAAGATGCTGCTTACATTTCAAGTTTGTTCATTTCTTAATGTATGCAATGACTTAATCATTAAAAAGCGGTTCAATTTAAAAATGGGAGAGTTGAAAATCACTGTAGATAAAATCAGATTTTTTATATTAAGAACAAATGCATTTCTCAATGAGAAACGAGAAAAAGTTGTTGTGAAGTGCAAAAAATATCTAATAAACAACTCTGGTTATGCCTTGATAACTGATAGTCAGATTCATTGTAAGGAGATAAGTGCATCTGTGTACTGGCTGACCCGATAATTATCGCACGAAAGTGCTGTTTGATGGTGTGCGAAAATATCGCAAGAAATTGACTAGCTAACTGGAAGGGTACTTACGAGAACAATTTTCTAACAAATGCTGGTATTACTTTTGTGATTGTTATTCCTCTTGGTTCAGATCATAAATTTGCTCATAACATTGGTACCCATTGTTGATTGCTCAGAGGCTATTCATGTAAGAGATGATTTGACTGAAGAAGAACAAGAAGTCTGTTCGGCAACAGCAAATTTCGAAACAATTGTGGAAAATCTTTTGGATAAGTGAGTTAAATTTTATTTTTCATAATGAATGCAACATCTGGCGTCTTCTTTACTTATCTTTCATTATAACCTTTATGTTTATAGGATGATAGAGATAATTCATGTTTTTACGGGAGGTGCACCAACTGTAACAACAGTGCAGGGTTCATTGGGCGCTAAATCACAATCCAAATTATCGGTGGAAGAAACGGTGATAAAACGAGGCATATTTTCCGTATTCCGTGCTCTACTTGGTAATTGCAGCACACCAATTTATAAAGTGAGTCAAATTAGAATTCACTAAACCGGCCATTAACGATGTTAGTAGTTAACCTATTAACAACATTCAAAACATTATGCATGCTGTTTTATTACAGAATCAATCATTAAGAAGGACAATTTATTGTTAGAATTCTAATGATAGGATAGCCTCGGTGATAGCTGTTGAATAAAGTAAATTAATTATTTTCTTTTAAACAACTTATATTTTTCAGATCGCCATCGATAAATTATATAATTTCATTTCGACAAATATGTATGATAGCCGATTAGCTGCGGATACTGTTTCAGAAATGATTTTCTGCGCTGTTCGAGTATATCATTACATTCTTTTTGCAGTAGAATTTATTGCTTTTTTTTTGTTTCTTTGTGGTAAATTTTATATGGTGAGTTTAGAATTCTTCTCTGAATTTTTAGGTTCATTGGCAATTTGGAGTCCTTAAAGTTTGATGTGTCTCTCACTTTAATGGCTAAAGTGAAAGACATTGAATTTTTTACATATATGTTTTAATGTCAACTAATATTAAAACGCATGTAGTTAATTTTTTACATAGAGTGTTTTACAATCATGAATTCTTCAGACAAATCCACCGGAATCGCTGGATCTATTCTTAGATCTCATTATAGAGAAATTGGTTCCGTTGATAACAGGTATATATACGTGTATATATCAGATTAGTTTTATCCATTTTGTTTTCGGTCTTTTATTGAAAGCAGGACGTAGTTCCTTCCGTTTTTTTTGTTGAGTACAAGCAGTGTAATGACTTACTTTACATGCTTGATTTCAACCTCAATTGTATTATAAAAAATAAAATTCTGATGAACATTTTAAATGAATAGAATGGACTATTTTATTTCATACCGTGTGTCAGTATTTGAGATGGACAAATCTTTTAATAGCTATAGTCCAATTATTGAGAGGTTTTTTGTAATTAAATCGTAGAGCAGAGTGAACGGATTGGATAGATTTTGTAGATTGACATATATATGGACTTTTGTTTACTCATTTTTTAAACTTTCTGTGCAACTGTAGGTTTAGATGGAATTTCTTTTAGCGAACTGTAATCTTTCGTTTTCAGAAGAAGCATATGACGAGGAAGAATTGGATTCCACAATGGTATGGTATATTGTTTTGGCCTCTCAACTTTTTAGAGTATCAGGAATGCATATTGTATCGCACAAAAAAAAAATATTGAGGCTGTTGCGAATGATTGTGCCCTTGACATGTCGGGCGGCATGTGAGGTGATTTCATTTTTGTCTTTCATGTCTTCGCTAAAAGATGATAAAAAATAGATTTTTTGAAATTTTGAAGTCTTTCCTTCTTTTCTTAATCGCCCAAGTAGTTTGCAGTGTTTGTTAGAATGGTTATTAGAAGTTCAGATAAAATTGTGGCCGCAAAAAGAAAATAGAGAAAGAATAGCTTTATGTGATAATAGTGAAGAAATTCTGTGGAATTCAATCAATCAAATAAAAATTCAAGCTATTTTACTTTCAGGAGCTTTATTCATGTCTTTCGATATGTGAGAGAGTATGAAGCATGGTAAATGTGCATTGTTTAAAAATGAGCTAAGCTACAAAAACTTATATTACAGCTGTCATGCAATGCATTGGAATGCATGTTAGCGGGTTTAACAAGTATATACACTGATACAAGTGAACAGAGACGTGAGAAGCTCGATCAACCTTTTGAAAAATACCTTTCGATAAGAGTTCGTTTTAGCGTTTTTTTTTTCATGAATCAGCTGATTTCATTAAGCATATTTTTCCTTTTTTTTGGATTTTTGTTGCGGTACTGCAATTTTCTCATTGCGCGCTCTCAATGATTTTAGAGGTAAGAGTAGTTTGGATTTTAGAAGATCGCTTATAAAAAATATTTAGTTCCGTGCTTTTTTAAGGACGGTTTTTCGTACTTTTCTTAGGCATCAGATGTCTTTTTTTCCAGGACTGGGCGAAAGTAGTGGACAAAAAAACTTTCCAACTGAAATGGCATATACCAACCGAAAAGGAATTTAATCTGGCTTACAATGTGCTGGACGAATTTTTCTATCCAGAATTAGAAAAATTAACAAATGCAGATTCTCTTTCTAAGTAGCTCTTCGCTTCGTGTTATTTGCTTTTCTTACTGTATATTGGTTCACCTTTTCTTTTTTCCCGATATTTCTTACTTTTGAGATAAAAAGAATTCTGGGAATAATGGACTTAGCGATTTTGTGTGGAAAGAATGATCCGAAGCGATCTAGAATTTGTATCTTTCCCAATTTACATTCTCCTGAATTTTTATGCAAATTTTAGGACAGAAATGCTGAAATCTTTGGAAATAGTAGGTAGTTGCTTGGCTGGTATATCAGCTGCACTGCCACCCCTTGGTGGAAAATTGATACCGTTGACGGATTCACCAGTGAGAGTCTATCCTTTTCAATTTGTCGCTGCTCCAAGTTATATAAAAGGTATTTGTACTTTGTGCTGTTTATAAGACACCAACTTCATGTTATTCTCTAATATCAAACGGCTTGATAATCAAGTTTATTATAACCGATAAACAATCAAGTAGTCATTGTCTACTCGTTGATATTATTTACAAAGATGATTTTGCTCATTTTACAGAGATGACGTACAATGGGACGAATCTACGAGATTTTGTATTGAAACGAGTAAAAAGTGTTGCTGAATATTTAATACAAAATCGAGAAAATGACACGAAGTCTTTGTCTGCTGTATGCAAAATTTTACACATTCTCATTTTTCAGCGTGGAATCGATCGAGTTGGTTTATTTTCTTTAATTTCTTTGTTTTTTCTTTCTTCGAATTAATGAGAAAAGTAATGATTAGAATAGATATACTTAGAGGGAAACTACCGTGTTTTGCACCTTTGAAAAGATAATGGACCTTATCGCTTCAGAGACGGTGAGAACTTTGGGACTTCGATGAAGTTGGTAATAATATGATTAAAACTAAGATATTTGAAACAACACCTAGTTTATTTATAAACTAAGATCATTGTTTGCCGATATTCATGCGAGGCTTCTGCAAATTGAATGCGAGCATCAAATTATTTGTTTGAACACTCAAATGCTGCTCTAAATTCTTTGTTGATTTATTAGGATCTCGATGATTATTGTTCATTTGAATCCTTAAAACACTTTATTTGCTTAGTTCATTCTATTGGTTTTGAATAACAATGATAAAATGTAACATGTTTCAGATAAAATTCGATTTGCAAAACCAAAATTATATACTTTCAAAAAGAATTGTTGGGGACACGGTACAGGGGAACAAAGCAAACATAGATCTGGTCACTACCGAATATCTTATGCTGCAACATCATGTTAGCATTAAAAAATATGAATTATTGTCTTCTTAGCTTTAAAATGATTTAAATGACATTAAAACGACATTATATACTACAAACTAGTACTAGACGTTCTCCTCAAATTTTGATTTCCAATAGAAGAATTCAAAAATGGAGTGAAAATTTGAATAGCTAGAAATTTTCGGTATAGCAAACAAGGATTTCTAATGAGATTGGAAAAGTAGTTCAAAAACTTCTTGTCTTTAAATTTTTATTCAACTTTCACCTTTCTTAAATGTAAGGCGTTAGGAATGAAAAAGTTGGTTATAGAAGCGAACATTGACGCGTTCCGGATATTATTTTACCACACAGCATTTGGAAATAATGAAATTATTGGTGCGATTGGGTACAAGTTTATACAGTGCTGTATGTTTTTGCTATTTTTATGAATTTATGATTAAAATAATGATAGCAATATTAATAAGATATGACAACAATAGAAGTTTGCATATTTTCTGAATAGACGTAAAAGTTTAGATTTGGTAGAGTAAATCAAAGAAAACACTGGTTATAATTTGCCGATGTAAATTAGGATAATGTTCTTCAGACGCGAATTGATGCCCAGAGGATATTAGATGGTTGCATTCAGACATTTCCTTATTCATATCTACTTGTGCTGGACGATATACTCGCGTTTTTCAAGGAATCACCTGATATATCCCATGAGCAATTTAAAGTGATAATTGTTTTTGCAAATAAGTTGAGAAAATTATGTGCAGCTTTTATGGTGGCGAACGCGAAATCCTTCGATCTATTAAAAGAGGAATAAAGTTATGGATTAATGTAGCGACTGATGTTGTGTGTTTTTTTGGAGGGCTTCGTGTACTGTCGTATGACATCGGAAGGATGCTGTAATAGATAGTCTAACAGTTCGTTTCTTTTGGTGAACAGTACTTCAAGTCGAATAAAATTGGAGATAGCAAGTGAGCATGTTAATTGCAACTAAATTGATTATAAAATAGAATTTGGACGTTTTTGTCATTTTTTATAGGGTGCATTATATATGCTTTTAAACGGAAAGAGATTGGCCATTTGTGTTCGACAAAATTGGAGTACATTGTTGCGGGTTTGGCCAGCACTTATTGAAGCGCAACATTCCGAAAAGCCTTCCGTAATTGGTCTGTTGGAATTAGCTCAGAACACTCTTGTTGATAATTTCGAATCATTCCAGATCAACTTTTGGGTAGTTTTGTTACCTTTTTGAATATAGAAATGATAGGTTAATTCTTTCGAAACGAAATTTTCCTCCATAATGTTGAGTAAGCAAGAGAAAATATGCTTCACTTCACCCTTTTCTTCATCCTTTATTTTCTCACCTTTCTTCACCCTTTTCTTGCAAACTAAATAATTATTCATTATATCTGATGTTGCCTTAGTCCAATAAGGCAACATTAGATATAATGAATAATATATCAAATATAATGAATATATAAAGAATGATTAATCCAATAATATGTGAATATTAACTTTTACGACAGATTCAGCCGTTAGGCCATCTTACTGCTATACATCCACTTATTTTTTGCTTATTTTTGCGGATTTATTACAGTTGCCGGATGAACCGGTTGCTGCTGCGCGAGAATTGTATGCTGCAGGCGGCGGTGAAAATATACATCAACCGGCATGGCCACTGCCTACTGATGAAGAAATTGAGGCTGCCGTTAGAAGAGAGAATATTGCATGCAAAGAAAAAGAGAAGTAATTTTACAATCAGTTATCCTTAAGAACATAACATAACGCTTAGCTTTTGTTTAAAAGTATTCAAAATTTAATAAGAACGTAGGAATTTTCAGAAATGCTTTGTAAGTTAGTGTGTTTTTAGAAGAACATCAGACAGATTGTTAGTCCTCTGCGGATTAAGCCAAAATGAGATGGAGCGAGAATTAGATGGAGTAATTTGAGCTTGCGCATCATTTACAGTTTTAAACTGAAAAGACGTATTTACAGCTATTAGCAACTTTTGTTTTGGCGAAGTTAACTATGTGAAGCATACTTTGATCATGATTGATAGCATTTACGTGTAGACACGGCAGTCAATTTAGAGTCAGTACCTTTTTAAGTTCTCGAAATGTTTTATTATTATTTTTATTACTATAGATTGTATTATTCACTTTGTGATCGTTTGGTTGCGCTCAGTACGGATGCAAACCTTCATTGGCGACATATTGACATGGCACAGTCTTTACTTTCGTTGCTCATCAGACGCGATATGCCTTTTCCACCAGATGCTGTGAAGTGAGTTTCACTTGACAAGTAATTTTATATGGTGCATCATTTTTAATATATTATAATTTTTGCTTCAAAATTACTTTCATGAACATATTATTTTATAGATGGAAATATTTTGGTGCCACATATTTAAGTATGAGATATTTTTATCAATATCATTATCTTTAGAGAAAAGCGAATAAGTTTAACGTAAACTGTTTTTAGCTGAAACAGTTGCAATTTTATGTTTGTTAATGAAATGTCGTTTTCATTTATATTATTTAATATCATATCATTTTAAGCGTTGTTTTTGTTTGTAGGTTGTTTATTCGATTACTTGTAAACGATACTGTTAAATCAAGACGTATGGCAACTGGATTAATAGCTGCCTGGTTGCGTATTACAAAACCGCAAGCTATAAAAATACCTTTCGAAAATTCAGTTAAAGTAATGACTTTATTATTTAATAAAATACGGAAAATTTTAATATTTCAATCATGACTTGTCCAAGACAGGTGAGGTAGGTATTAAGCGCGACATTCCTATATTATCTCAGTTGCACGGGGACATCGCGCTCAATATTTGATCAGTTTTGATGATAGCCCAGTTTGGCATGAACATGATGATCCATTATTAAAAAGAATTCATTTTAACCAAATTGAAAATAATTCTTTTCGAAATTTATTTGATATTTTCACAGTCAATTTCCTTTTTTTTTACGTTTGTAGGAAGAAAATATTGGTCCTGGTGCAGAATGGCCCATAAAGTATGGTTTTCGAATGGACAATGTAATAACAATGTATAACAAGGAGAAATTACCTCAGACGGCAAAAGACTGGAATACTACAATTTTTTTTAGCAAAACTCATTGGGGCTTCTATACTTGGCCAAAGTTAGTTTTACTGTTAGCTTTTTCAGGAAATTTTAAGCAGCCATCTTTGTCGGAATGTTAATGGTCCATGAAAATACTAATATACATATTTGAGGATCTTTTTACATAATAGAATAGATATTTTAATTCTTTGATCATTGCGTGGACTTATCGCGGTATTCTTTAAATCGGTACGTTACTGGTTCAAAAAAAGAATCATGGGTACTTTTACGGTTCTTCTTCATTCAGTTTGATGATAGCGTTCTGTATGTGTGATGTATGAGTTCTGTATGATTTAATATTACTTCGAAATATTACTTCATTCTGGAATCTAAATAGTAACGGTTAAAACATTTTCATTCTATCGATTAATAATTATCTAAAGGATTTTGAAAGTCCATGCGCCAGCAAATGAACAGAAGGCGATTAATCGTAAACTGGAAGAATTGAATGAAATTGAGCGTTTCGTTGTGGAAATATTTTATGATGATGAATTTTCGGAAAAATTTCGCCAATATATGAGTGTTGAAGAAAAAAAGGGCGAGGAAGCATTCGATCCCATTGCTTTCGGTTTATTTTACGTCAGTTTTATTGTTTTTTTTAATTAGCAAAAGGGAGGTTGCTTGTACTTTGAAGGAATTAATATATTTGTTGGAAAAATTGCTAGTGAACCACAAGGTCATTGTTATAAATAAGTTAATTAAACGGAGGCTTTTTGGTAACTGACATTAAGTATCGTTAAGAAGACTCATATATTTGTTGTAAAATTATTGAACTATTTGATTATTCTGTAATCATTAGCCAGCTGGATGATATCCAGATAATCACTTCCTCTCTGTATATTATGAAAATCTCCTTGATACTTCGATAATCATACTCATCAATTTCTTTCCCGCTTATTATCAGATTTTTTTGAATATTACGAATGAGATTAGAAAACAGTCAGTAATCCCAGTTATTTTGAGTCAAAGTTTCAGGGCATATTTCGGAATTATAACGATCTTCTGCTTCCAATTTTTAAGAAACATTTGGAAATTTTGCTTTCAAGTGATAAGGTTACGGATTTTATCATTCTTGTTTCTCATGTAACGCGTGGTATGTTAATTTGTGCCGTGGATTACGGATTAATATAACAAATGCTTTATTTTTTTCTTTTTTTAGGAAAAAGTGTAAAGACAAATTTTTAATATTACTTTTCATAATTTTATAGACCAACTTTTAGGAAGGTGACCAGCGATTAGCATCCGAAATGGTTGCAGGACTGTTGAATGGCAGTAAACTTTGGACGTTCGAGAAGATTTCAGCAATGTCGAAATGGCTCAAACCTTTAATAAGCAGTTGCTTGGAAACAGTTAAAACTGAAAATGTCAAGAATTGGGGAACAGCTATTGCGACAGTTTTCGGTTCGGTTGATCCGAAGGCGCTTTCGTGGTTCATTGAAATGCTTTTTGAATTGTGCATGAAACCAACGGACAGCAGCTTTCATGCTACTACGTATGGATTTTTTTCGAAATTGATCTGTATGAATTAATTATTCAGCTGAAAGATTAAACTACAAGTGTTTGCAATTTTTAAGGGCTGGTTTTTAGTCCAATCAATATGGAATATACATGTTTATATGTTCTTAATATCAGCTTGTAGAAAATAGGACGAGAATCAAGGGAATAAATTTTTACAATTTATCATGTCACAACAAACAATGGACTTACAATGATGTGATCAGTTTTGGTTATTCAACCTAACATCATCTCCAGAAACGCATTTCAGATACAATCAAATAAAATGAAAAATTACTAAATTTTTTCGTTAGATTCATATATAGGTTATGTTGATTATTGAAGATAGTAAATTGGAATGACTATTCATGCAAATCCACTATGCTTTTGTGATATTTTTGAGCCACACGATTTGCCAGAAATCATTTTCGTTCCAGGCGAATGTATTTTGTGCAGGGAGCTTTAAATCAGTGTGAATGGCGAGTAACAGAACTATGGAATCAGCTTTTTCGAAAATGTATGCAAACTATGGAAGAATCATATCAGAATTTACGTGAGCGTATTGGTTCCAGTATTGCCACCATTGTATGGTTCGATCTAACTCATATATATATTGATCCACGAATCCCGAAAAAATTTCATCCAATGAAAATTGACAGTGTAATGGGAGAAATCAATAAAAAAGTATACTTTACTAGAGTTTCTTGTTACTTTTATTAGCATGTAAATTGGTGCAGCGTTTTAACAATGAACTTTTTTACCTGGAAAAAATATGGAGATTTATCTGGGAGTACTTTGAACGATTTGTATGAAGAAACGAAATTAAGGATAAAAACTTGGATTGGGAGGAAAGAGTTGTCGAAATTATTATTTTTGTAAAGAGGAAACAATGTTTTGATGAGCATTCTGATCAGTATGTACGGTTGTTGAATTAGAAGGCTATTGCACAGATTGATTAAATAAGCATTGCTGCGATCTCCATTTATTTTTCCTATTGCAGTTAGAACTTTTGTGGTCCGAAGTTGCTATTGCGAAACGAGATGGTGACAAAATGAATAATGTTTGCACAGACAGCACCATGGAAATTATTAATAGTGAAGGCAACGGCCGGAAAAAAGTGCCAGTTTCTTTTTTATAAAAAAAAATTGGATAAATTTTTTCCCAATTAATGAAACTAAGAAAATCCTGCCATAAAAGACCAGCAGTTTCGATTTTCAAGAAAAAGGTTTTTCAACGAGTTAATGATTTACTTAAATTACTATCATTTCAGGCAATCATGACATTTAAATGTGCTTTAAATTATTTAAATGCACATTGGGTGCATTCTTTCACTGCCCTGCCGCCTGCTATTTTCAATGTTTTGCCCTTGCTTATACATTTTGAAAATGAAACAAGGTATTCCACTTATTTGTTAGAAAATTATTTGTTGCTTATCGATAATTTCTAATTTGAGATTGAAAATGAACGGAAAGCATTCTCGTAAATTTCATCAAGGTCTATCAAGTCTTACAGCTCTCAGTTCAGACGTTGAAAACCATTGGTAATCCGATTTGAATCCTCTTCCCTTCCATTAAGCTAATGAACAAAATAGACGGTTTGACTTGTGCATGACGGAATTATGGAGCGATAATTCTGTTCATGATCAGGACCTTTGTGTTATTTCGAAATCAAAATTCGTTTCAGCGATGAAGAACTGAAAAACAGTTGTCATGATCAGCTGCGCCAAGGATTGTCACAAACATTGATTACTGCAAAGAATGTAGAAATGGTTTTGTGTGGCGTTAAAGAGGTCAGCATCGTCATGTCCTGGTAACTGTAGATGCTTAGTCCTAACAGCCAAACTCATACGCTCTGATTAGTTAAGTATACAACTTACACTAGAAAATGAATAATTGCCCAATATTATGCATGTAAATTATTCTCTTATAAGCATACAATGTAATAATGTTTTGAGTATTATTGCTTCCCACTTTTGCTTAAGACAGATTAATTCATAATGTTAGAAGTGATATCAATCTCTTGATCATTTAAATAACTTATATATTAATACTTGTTTGTGAATTGGACTTTTCCATTGCAGTTAGCTTCATCTGCTACCTCATGGTGGAAGCCGAAAGTTTCGCTGCTAAAGTATTTACAAGTTGCTATATTCTCCAATTTTTTCCTTTTCCTGCATCATCGTCCAGTATTACAAGACATACTTTGTTCCATGATAGTTGATCCCAAGTTTGAAGTGCGTGAAGCTGCTGCTACAACACTGTCGGGCCTTATCCATTGTCACTTCTTCGATGTGGATCACCTGATTATTGTAAGTTGTATATTTGTATGTATTTTACCTTTTTGAACATAAATTGTAATATAGAAACTATAAACAAGTAGGAAAGTACTGATTAAATTCCTTATGCGGGTAACAGCGATCCGTTGCTTTAGCAAATATATCAAGCAATTAATAACTTTTTGACGTTGTATGCTTTTCGTATAATTTGAGCAGAGGTCTTCAGGAACGATTTTACGATTGGTCTCGGGAAGAAAACGGTACAAAACGACATGCGGGCGTCTTAGCCCTTTCTGCTATTGTTCAGGCATTTCCATATACTGTTCCACCTTTCTTACCAAAAATTTTGATGCAACTTTGCCGTCATACTTGTGATAAACAACCGATGCAAGTAAGCTGTTTTATTCTTTTCCCAGTCTCAAGGGATGAGGCAAAACTCTTCTTCAAGTGAATTGCTAAAGTTATTCCTAACTTTCGAATTTTTTTATTATATGCAGATGCAATTTTTGCCAATATTACTGCTGTTTTAATAAACTATTCAGGAAGTAAGATTATTTAAATTTATTCTGTGGAGGTAGTACTTGTGTCCGCACAAAAACCGCATAATTTGTTGGCCTCAGTCGCTCTGAATGAAAAATCTAGAAAAAGCGTTTTTGAACATAAATTTGTTTTATCTTATCTTTTTAATCATAGTGATAGAATAAAAAGGGATGTTTTCAAACATGGAGGTTCATTTTTTGCGTGGTAATCATCTTAAAAATGAAAAAAAGATTATTTTTAGGATGCAGTGAAAAAAGCATTAAGCGAATTCAAGCGTACTCATCAAGATAGTTGGCATGAACACAAGATGCAGTTCAGTGAAGATCAGCTTTCCATTCTAACGGATCTGTTCGTTTCACCAAATTATTACGTTTGAACTTGTTGAATGAAAATAGCGAAGAATACGAAATTCCGGGAAATGCTTGAAAGTGTGACTTGTTTGTTTAGCTATTTGAAATTTTGAGATCAATGAACAGAGTTAAAGCTGGAAGATGTTGGTCTCTTTTTTTGATTTTCTGCCAAAATTTTTGTGGATAATTTCTTTCATTATAATCGTTAGATAAATTTTGATATGAAACAATCTCAACAATCACTTTGAAGCATATCAGTTCAAGCTCATTATATTACAGTTAGGGTTTTATATTCTTTTGCTTAGGTGTTGTTTAGTTTTATTAGACCGGCTTCCTTTCTCATGCTCTCTTTCTCACACACAACATATTTTAATGCGGATGATTCAGATACAAATCAAATTCATCCTTCTACTATTGAGTGAAGTTTAACCGCTAACCATAAAAAATGCTAGTTGATTTTTGCCAGTCATTATTAGAGACATCTAAGCTTCATTTTTCAATGCTACTACTGTTAATCAATTTATGATATCACTAGCAAACGATGGCATACATACACGTATAATTCGAGTTGTCATGTTTTTGTTACGATACTATATTAGTATGGATGTTTTATGAAACGGTAAGAAACGATTTTGCTTCTTATTTGATCTTTAGATGTGGGAGTATAGGAGCCGGATTTCAAATTTCTTGTTAAATGATACTCACTGTAATTTGTTTCTTTTATTTATGAAGCTGTGATGATATTGTTATGTGTTCAGCAAACTTCATTTTTCCACTGTTTCCAATAGAAAAATTTTCTAAACTTCTTTCTTGTTTTTGAGGTTGCATGTCGAGAATTTCATGCACGATGAACACCTCATTTTATTTCATATTATCATCAATGTAGCCTTCTATTTTCAATATTTTTTTGATGCTAGATTCTGACATACAAAAATTCCACAGATCCTAGGATGAATAGTTACGGTATTCCTGATATCATGCTTTTTTCTTCAGCGAATACATCGATAATAGTCATTTGAATATTATCGTCCTTTTTTTCAAGTTTTCTTTATTGCAAGAGATTTCCCACAGCACATGATTTCACTGGGTATGAATTATTGATTATATAGCTTTTTATGTGAAATCTTTTCATGTGAAGACAGCCATTTTAACTAACGGATATAACATTGCAGGCCAAAAATACTGTATAATCTGTCAGTTTGTATAAGGAAAGAATAGGAAATTGAATTTATTTTTTAAGTGAATAATTTGGTTTAATCATTGCAAGAAACAATTCACGCCGATTATTTTTGCTTATCAAATATCATTTTGTTTGCCTTACTATTTATGAACAATGTGTCGATTTGTTCCATTCGTCCCTGTGAACTTTTTTGTTTATCTGAAATTGCATTCAAGTAAAGATAAAGTTAACAATTTTAAAAAGCTTCCGCAGTATCGGAAAGGAATTCACCTTCCTCAAAAATTACTTGATTTTGAATCAGGGTTTGAGGCGGTATTTTTAGAACTTAGTAGGATTAAGGTGGATGGAGGCAGTTCAAGAGCTCTGAAGGATTTAGCAACAAGTGTCTGGTTGTTAGAGATCCTTTCTTGCTTTACCGATATCATTTGTCGAGAATCTCATTAAGCGTTGTCTTTTTAGATCTGACGATATTGTACACTAAGCTAGGTTCGATGAAGATTTTGGAAAATTTCTTGTATGCCATCCGTAATAATACGGAAGACGTAAATAGAATTATGCAATGTTGCGGGGAACATTGTTTTGTATGAAGTTGGAATTTTTTGTTTTCATATCCAGATAGAGTTCTCCTCTCCTCCAAGACTGCCATCCTTTTCTCCTTAAAATTGTCATGTACTGGATTTGAAATTCTCATGCTATGCCTAGACATTAGTTTTTTATTCAGATTATTTTCATGATATGGTGTGAAATCACTCTCTGTTTGGAAAATGTCCTCGAGAAAATGATGGCACAGTAATGGAAATCCAAAACATCGTCCGTGCTTGGTTAGCATTTACTGTACTACAGCTTGTTGGAAATCTTCAGCAGTGTATCCAGCCGAAAACCTTTTCAGAAGTCTTGCTGCGCCGTAAAACTACAGTAACAGGTTAATTATCGGACGAAATCGTTTCTTGGAGTGTGTGTGTGTGTGCAGTGATGGCTGTAAAAACAAACTTCACGCGAACTTGCCATCATCCAGAGTATGCCATTTTTAGACATAACACCTATCGCAGCATCATTTTTTATCCATTACTGGACAATACTGCTCCTGCGCCTCTTCGTAATTTATTATTTCGATTGCGTCCCACTTCATGTGTTGCATATTATTTGTTCGATAACATCAGTTGTCTTCTTTTGCTTCGAAATTTTCTACACTGAACTGTTGAAAAAATCAGCTGCCCTCTACATACAGATTGCTTTGTCTGGTTAGTCTGCTAAAATTTGCAGTTAATACCATTTCCATGGAATTAAAGAGAAATAAGCTCCGATTTGGATACTATGCAATACATAGAGATCAGTATGCGCATATTAAAATAAAAAATCCAACTGTTTATTGGTTGCAGAGATGACTATCAGGAACAAAGACAAATCGTAATGATAATTTGAAATTGCAGATCCATTCAGCTTATTTTCTCCTCACTCATATCGTTTTCATTTTCAGGTTGTACAGTATTAATTATCATGTCTAGCTGGAAGTATTTATTCGCCGTTAGTGAGAGGCAAGAAAAAACACGAAAGAAACTAAGCGCTACAAATAGGATGGATCTCAAAAAGACGTAATGGAACAACTGTTTGTATTGCCAACAAAAAGGAACAGAAGAACAAGGAAAATAAGATTTTTGATTTTTCAGTTTGATTGAGCTAAATAAAAAATTCAAATGCGGAAGTTCTTTGTTGCTTGTGCGAAATATCCCCCCAAAATATTGATGATATTCTTTTTTTATTCCTTTACATTCAGTTTCAGTGTTTTGTTTCTTCTTTCGTCGTATTTTGTCATGCTTCTATTTTCTTCATTTGCTTTATAAAGCATTTTTGTATTTAATTAGAGGTTGTGATAAAACCTGAGGATTTCAGCGGGACCTAAAGACTTCTTTCAGAATGTGATGGCTGTAAATGTGTATAAGGAAGAATGACATAAATTTCCTGATAACAATTAACGAATCATTCCATTTAACCCATTCGGCAAATGGAAGAAAGCAGTTTGAAGTATCTTACCAGCAAGCACGTGTAATCACACTTTTCGACTTTAGCGACCTTAGCCCTTTTATGCTTACGAAGTCCAACTGCTGCATTCAATCTGATATAGTATCGAGAGATAAGTATCGAGATCAGACTGCAGAAGATGGTGTTGCTTAATTTCAAAAAATGTTCTTTTGTGAGGTAGGAAATTGTAAATGAAATATTTCGAAAAAGCATTCATCAGTATATTTCAACATATATTTGCTGTATTTTCCAAAAGGTTTTCTTCTTTTTCCAGTACATTTTCCATAGTGTCAGATTCTTCTGCCTAAAAAAGTATATTTAGATGTGAAACTTTTCTTTTTTCAATCATAATGACAATAACTCATTTTCCGCGTGACTTCTACTCAATCTTCATGAATTTACGTTCCCACCCAACCACATATAAAGGCGAACGTATGCGTATCCCTTAAGCTTACGAAGCCAGTAGCTGTAAGGTTTACCTGATTTCGCGCTGATTTAGCCACTCGTATCCGACGTTTGATAATTACAGTTTGACCTGGCTTAATACCCACTGCTTCAACAAACGATCGAGGTAAATGTTGTAATTTCATGCGTTTTTTCATACCAGTCATAGGATTCGTGAACATCACAACATTTGGCGTATCGTCTTTTGATGTCCTTTTTTCCACTTCTTGGATTTCTGTTAACAAATTTTTTTCCGACGAACAATTTTGCGCATTTCCGATCGTATTCTGATCGGTTTTCTATAAAGAACATGGTGAATTTTTCTATAAAGAACATGGTGAATAATGCTTTTTTTAGTTCTCCACCAAATAAGTCGTGTTAGACTGCAGCCCAACATCATCAAGAAATGCTTGACCACGCATAAATAACAGAACTGTCTAGAATTTAGCTTGATTAAAATAAGAATAGAAAAAGTAACCTTAGGTTCACTTGAAGAAGATACGAGCTTTCGCCGTTTTCGTAAAATTGATGGCTTACATGCATGCAAACGTTCAGAGCGTTCCGGTCGTGATACAGAAGGCTAGAATCATAATCTAAGTTAATTTTTTATCGGTTAAAAGTCCTAATAAATTCAATGTTTGCTTTTCATTCATTCCCTATTACCGTTAGTGATGCAAATTACCATTTCATGAAGAATGACAGCTCATCCTATATTTCAATAAAGTGTAGCAGCCGTCGGAGCTACTATAATTTAGAGCTGCTATTAGGAGAGAAGGTATTATTACTAGACAGTAAAATGGCTATTTACAAAAGGAAAAATGCAATAACTGCATGTTATGCTATAAATAGAGTCGGGAATGATATGCTTTTAAGAAACCCGCACATATAGCCTCATGAAGCGACATAGGATTAAAAACAAGAGAATGAAAAAATAAGCACCATTTCATCAAAATCATCATCATTAGCAAGACTTTCAAGGTATGTTAACGTCTTAGCAGTGGGCTGTGATATTGAACGTTGTAAGAATAAATGAGGAGCAAAATCTTCATGTGATGGATCGTTGGATGGTCGACCTTGTCGAAAATGTACACTACATACCTGCAAATCAGAACAGTTAATAAATTAGCAATACAGTGGTCACTGAGTAAATAAGAATGGATATATTGACTGTTTTGTTTAATGAAGGATGATATGAGCGGATATGATATAAATTTCATTCAATTTCAAACTTCGAAATAATTAGATATGGCATCAGTAATTTATATTTGTGAAAGCCTCAATGGGATTTTAATCTTTTTAGGGAAATAACGTATTGCCAAAAATTATACGTGCTAGTCTTCAACTGTGGTAGGACGAGAGTTTCAAAAAAGGCTTGATTACTTGATTCATTATTTTGTGGATATGAAGACAATTTAATTCCTCTCACAGATGATAGCATAACACGATTTGAAATAATACTACGTGTGATGAAAACAAAAATTTGCCGGGTTTGTTAATTATCGCTTTTAACTTAAAATTAGGCCTACACATAGTTAAATTTGAACCAGATCCACTTTAGATATTTACGTAGAGAATTAAGTTATGGTTAATTCATGCTAAGAGTTACGACTAAAATCTTAGGCTTAGGTTCCTCGTCTTGACTAGCTAGAATGTGTAAGAGCAAAAATAATATGGTTTTTGTTATAAGCTAAGAAGATATAGAACCTGTGCAAGCAGGCCAATGGATGTTGGGAAGGAAGCCTAAGCAATCTTGCTGATGATTCATTATATCAGCAGCTGAGGTTGTTGGAACATATTGATAGGTGGAGTTAGCAAACCTTATCTTTGGGTGATAATTCTCGATCACCAATAGCACACAACCATCTTACACGTTTTAAACCTGGCTCACGTGGAATTCCGTAAAATCTCAACGCTGGACCGCTGGTACGGCGATGCCAACCACAAAAAACACACTTTTCCATCACTTCTAAAAGGAATATTTAAGTATTCATGGTCGATTGACTGATTGACCGATCAGAAGCAAAGAACGAATTTTCAGTGGTGCGGCAATTAACGGCAGTTCATCACAGCACCTCTTTCGATGGCCGGTGGCAGTGATGCAAAAGGAGGAAGCTCCGCGAGCCCGTCCTGAACCCTTCGAACAAACTGCTTACCGGAAGTCTTTAATTGTCACTCCTGCCGCTTTTCAGTAGATTCGCAAACTGTAACTTCCTTTACGGTAATGCTACGATATGCATCATTCTTCATTTTAGATTTTCTTGAAAAATGAACTTTTTTCACAGAAATGGAGAGAAATGATAGTCGGTGTCGACAGTATCGGTTTGCTTAAGAAATATGTTACTAAGCCTGACATACCCATCAAGAAAGCGGCCATCTTAAAACTACCATACCTCAAATTAACCACCGACTTGCTCTCTCACTCGACATACATCGGGCTCGGTTATCACGGCCATTTTAAAACTGCCCTATCACCACACATCCCCTTTCCCATTAGATTAAAGCCTTTTCATTATTAGCTGATCAAAGCCAGCCTATTCCATCACTTTTGCCAATGTGGGCCTCTGTCGAAAAATCCGAAAATTTGTGATATCAAATTATTCACGTCAGCTGAGATTTGTATCACTGACAGAATATAGTAATTTGTCTCTTTTTGACATTTAAACTGTCATCAATAATCTGTCATTGTTAGTTTAATTTCTTATCATATGACTTCTTTGTCTTGGTTTAATTCATTAAGAGGTTGTTTATAACATTTGTATCCTTAATTGCTTTATCTCTTATGAAATCGATGCAGCTAACAACACGAAGCCCTTTGTCGTCACTGCTTCTTCATAACCCAAATTTATATTGTCCTGACCCTGGTAACCGATCATCTACTAACCTAGACCACCCATTGAGTATATTGGGCATATAAACCAGGAAGGACCATTCTGAACCATTCTGCTGATTCAATCGTCTGAATCGTCTCTTCTTGCAACCATCGTCAAATGAACTACT